GCAATCTAAAAGCGGGAGTCCTATTCAAACAATTAAAAGTTAATCTAATACCTGAAGGGATAGTTACAATCACACAATACCCCTGGGCCAGCTTTACATCAATTTTATCAATAAAGGAAAGAGGGTTACTATTCAACAGAACTGAATCAAAAGGCATGTTTCCATAGATGTCAAACTCACATTGTCCTGGCGGCATCACGTGACGTATCGGGACTTTCCTTCCCCTTCGCTAAACTGGGCGTGGGCGTGGTGTGCGTGTGACGCATCCGTTCCAAAGGCCAGTTTGACAGCCCTGCATGTTTCTGTGGCCTCTGAAGTGGGTCATCTGAAATCAAGGTGTATCAAAGAAGACTTCACCTTGGAATGAGTGGGAGATTCTCAGTATAGAGCGCTGTTTCTCCATTACAGCAACTTTAACCTGTGTGGACTTCAACTACCAGAATTCCCCAGCCAGCATGTTGGCTAGAGAATTTAAGGAGTTCAAGTCCATACAGTGTAATGCTGCTGAGGTTCAAAATCTTTGATGTAATGGGATCTTTTTGCAGAAAGATAAAACTAGTAGAACCAGAATTTCTAAGTAAGGAGGTGGTGAGAAAGTGGTGTGTGTGTGTGTGTGTGTGTGTGTGTGTGTGTATGTTAGAGAAGGTGGGGAGGAGAGAGAAGCAAACCTTTGCATCCCAGCTCCCGAACCGCATAGCCACTAGTTCGAATTTTTCTAGCACATATATTTACAGAATTACAAATGCTCCTAGACATAAAATCTGCAACACTGTTTAAATTTAAATTGGGTCACAGTGGGAGTAGAAGCCCTGTGCAGGGAAAGAGGTCAGGGTCAATGTGAGAGACTGCTCAAACTTGGGCCAAGCTCTTTGATTTTCTGTTTTACTTCTCTGGTTTTCGTGAGATGCCGAAGAGGTAAACACAGAGAAGATAAGTCTTCTTTCAAATTTGTTTTTGAGGTTTTGTTTTTTTTAAAAAAAATCTCCAATACATGTATAAAAGAATAAATCTGAACTGGAGAGGGTATGGAGAGTCCAGCACAAATCTTTAAAAATGGCATGTATCAATATTCTCAAGAGGCAAAACAATTACAAAGATCCTTTGTTATCCACCAATGATGGACTCTTTTGATATGTGCTAGGTGAAACCTACTTCACAGGGCTGTTGTAAGAACAAATATGTTTCAAAGAATAGAAATGTTCTGTTGTATTTCTATTTATTTATTTATTAAATTTGTTTGCCGCTTATCGCAGCCTGAGGTAATTCTGGGCAGGTTACCATGTTAAAAAACAATGAAACACTACAAAAACGACAAAAATACAAATTATCAGCTCTACATAAAAGACGGGGAGGACGGAAGGAGGATGAGCAGGGGAAGAGGTGGGATCTGTTATTAAACTATCAACCATCTCCAGTGTAACGCTCCGCCGTTAAGAGCGCCTGGAACAGCCAGTTCTTCAAGCTCCTGCAGAAGGTCTGGACGATGGAAGCCAATCTCACTTGGTGGGGAGGGGTAGTAAGATGTTCCAAAGGGAAGGAGAGGATGGACAGCAGACAAGGCTCTTCCGCTGAATCCCAGAGAAACAGGTGGGATGGTCCAATACCACTGGGATGAAAAAGTTCCTCAGGTATTACTGTCATCCTTACCTCAGTTTCAATAAGCAAATGCCCTGCAGGGGTCTAGGCCAACTCACCACAGCCAACTCACCATGGGACAACTAGCCGTGGGACAATTTGCTGTGGAACAAGAGTTATACTAATATCAAAGAAATGGTGGAATAGAATCATTAAAGAAAGGATGCAAAAGGAGGGACAAAATGAAACGTGAGTGACAAAAAGTAAAGTATTTTTTAAAAAATAATTAAATTCAATTGTTCAATTGTCCTGCGATGAGTGGGCGTTGGTGAGTTGTTCCACGGAGTTGGCTGTGGTGAGTTGGCCACACAAATTGGCTGTGGCAAGTTGGCCCATTCCACCAGAGAAGTAGAGTGAGTGCAGGCAAGGCCCTTCCCAATCTCAGAAACAGAATCTTTATTGCAGTCGGTGACATCCATCAAACACTCAAGATACATTAAAATGATATGGATTAGCTATGTAATTAGGTGAGCAGATTAACCAGTTGGACTGCTGTGCATATTACATATTATGTGCCAGAATTTGGCTACACTGAGAGACATTTGAATTTGAGAGCAATGACAGGATATTTAATCAGACGTGGAATTAACATATAATCATGGGCATAAAATGGATAGTATGGTAAGACATGTTTGATGGTGTCTGTGGCTTCTTTTCACCCTGATATGGGCAGAGTTTGGATTCAAATGGAATCTGTTTATATTTTCCTTCCAAAACCCCTGATGGAAATGTGTTAAACCTGTCCTATCTCTACGTCATCCACTAACTGAAACAGGACCTACCAGGAGATGCATTCATTTTAGTTGAGTTTTTCCCACAGTGGGCAAGGCATATATAGATCACAGTACTGAAAGATCATTTATTAGAATGTCCTTCTCATTTTTATTTTAGAAACATCGGCATTTTCTAAAACAAAATGTCCATCAAAGTTATTGGATGCTTAATACATTTAATCTGTTTCTTCTTTGTCCCCCTCCCAATATAGCAAAGTTATTCCCTTATCATTTGGACAGTTGTCAACATCTGAGAGCAAACTTGTGGGGGGGGGGGTCCAGTGAAGGAATCATTAAAGAAGAGAAAAGGAGGTGTGGGGAAATTTCTAGTATTTAAAGCAGGCTGCCTTGCAACAAAAACACAATGCAAGAGAAACCCCTTGAACATATTCATGGGAGCTGAAACCAAATAAAGCTATACAGTAATCATAAAAATGCTTACAAGCAGAGCATGAATCCCACTGAAAACAGTAAAATGCATTCTTAGCTACACAGTCATGCAAGATTTACATCTTTCCCTAAACTGACTGTGTCAGAATGCTGAATTAGCATGGGAATTCTGGGACACTGGAGGGCACCCAAAAACGTAACCTGAAAGGCTAAACAAACAAGTCATTTATGTACTGCTTGGATACATAAGTTTTGTACAAAAACTGGCTACACAAATTGGTTTTATATATACCTAACAAACAATAGCCTCTAATTATCTAATTGTACCTAATCACCATGGCCTGGGATCCTAAACCATGTTTCAATTACAAAGTGTTTTGTTTATAGAGGATGCCCAGAGGAGCCAACCAGCAAAAAAAAAAAAAAACAGGGAAGGGTGGGGCAGATACAATAGCATAGCTTATAGGATCCTCTGCTACGCTTTGTCTTACTGGCAGAATTCCAAACCCAAAAAGGAGCAGAAGATGCTTCCATCAATTTTACTTAATATTCTACTCTTTTAAATGAACTGTCACACATGTGACAAGCTTCCCAAGAGCAGTTTGACAATTACTCCTCTTCCCTGGGCGTGTTCAAGTAGAAAATGGGTATAATTGGTTTTTTTTTGGGGGGGGGAGTGTTGCTTGAAATTAGATAATCGAATAAGAGTATTGAACTGTATAATTTCCATGACTTCCTTTAAATTCTCTGCTTCTATCCATTTATCAAAAGTGTCATTGGTGATTTCTTTTATTTTTATTAGCTTTTCATACTGAAGACCGGGTAAAGTCTAGACGTTGATTTTGTTGTTCACAATTTCTCCGTACTTCAGAATTACAAGAGATCTCCACATTTATGAAATGAAATATTGCTTTACCTAAACATGCCCATGATCACACATCAATAGAAAAGCTCCTTTCTACTAGTTATTCTTGGGAACTGAGGTATATTTCAAAAGCAGATTCTAAGAATCCACCAGGGGAAGAGGAGTGTATAAAACTCTGCTTTAACAGTAAATAAATGTTGACCCATTCAACACAGCTCAAAGAATGAGGTTGACTGAGGGTGGAGAATTGAGGAAAGTCCTTTGAAAAATATAGAATTTGTGGCAAAGGTCTCTTTTTGTTAATTGTATCCTCTCCATCCCGGAACAGGCAGCTGTGGGGGACTTTCTCTCTTATAAACAGTGTCACAAGTGCTTCTTACAGCCACAAATGGGGTTATCCTGCTTGAGCAGGGGGTTGGATTAGATGACCTCCAAGGTCCCTCCCAACTCTGTTATTCTATTCTATTCTATTCTATTCTATTCTATTCTATTCTAATCAAGCCCGGTTCATTTATTAAAAAAAACCCTCCCGCCCCTTTTTTTTACAACTCCATCGTACTCGAAACGCTCGATAGTACAGGATAATATCAAGATACTACAGGCTACGCCAACGATGGCCGATCCGTTGCATTTTATACCAGAAGTCACACCCTCTTCGTGACAAAAAGACGCCTTAAAAAGAAATACCCGAGGCTTTTTTTTACAACACACAAGAGTCCCTGAAAGAGATTGGTCGGAAAGCACCTGGACGCCGACCTCAAAAAGAAGCAGGAAAAGAGGGAAAGAGAAACGAACCTTAAGCCACCCCGTCACCATCCCAGCCAAGTCGGGGTGAAAAGAAAGGCAAGGCAACTAAACCCAGCCGCAATGGTGTCGTCGTCCCCCCAACCCCCCCCCCCCCAAAAAGGGGGGGGGGGAGGACCGGCCCTGCCCTTCGCACCAATCTAGCCATCGTCAGCCGACAATGGCCGATTTCTTGCCAGCGCCCATTCAAGACCCCACCCCCCCAAAAAAAACGTCAGCGGACCAAGATGAACCCGGAGACAAAGCAAAGCCCCAGATCCCAACTGCTACTCCGCGTCCGATCCAAGGCCCTCTCTCCCTCTCTCTACTCTCTCCCTTCCCGGCGCTTGATCGCTCCAAAGCTCCAGCGTCCGGCCTCGCGAAGTCGGCAAAGAAGACAAAGGCAGGCTTGTGATTGCCGCCAGCTCCGCTCGGGGCTGAGGAGAGGGGTGGGAAGAGAGAAGCGACCCCGGTCCCGCCTCGCCTCGCCCGAAAGCAAAGAGCGCCCCCCACCCTTTTTTTTCCCTCCCCCTTTCGGGGAAGGCGGCTCTCACCCTGATGCGTTCCACGCCGGCCTCGAGTTTCAGCTGCTCCACCAGGCGCTGCAGGGTGTTGACGCTGGAGCTGGAAGACATGCTGGCAACGAAGGAAGCGCTCTCTCGCTCTCTCTCCCGCTTGCTCTCTCTCTCTCCCGAGCGAATCCGCGCCCCCTTTCCCCACCTCCCCCCACAACTCACTCCCTCTCCGGTCCCGAGCCTGGACGTAAGCGAGCCTTCCCGTGGCAAGAACGGAGCGTAAAAAGGGGTGGAGGCAGCAGCACTCCAGCTTTCCACACCCCCCCCCCCCGCCCTTCCCCTCCCCAATCCCTCCGGGGAAAGAAATGGCGAGACGAGGTGGGTCGATTTGGCCGAGCGCAGCTGCTCAGGAAGGACAAATCGCTCCCGACCTCTTTGGATTTATCCTCTAAAAACTAATATCCTGCCCGCTCCTTTCCCCCCGCCCCCTGCCCCTCATCGCTACCTCAGCCTGTCTGCAGTACAGTACGAGCCGGGCCTTGGTGGTGGCTGTTGTTGTTTTGTTGTTGTTTTCTTAAAAATCTATTTTAAGAGATTGCCACAAAGAAGAGGGAGGTCAGCTGTTCTCCAAAGCGCCTGAGGGCGGGACAAGAAGCAATGGATGGAAACTAATGAAGGAGAGCAGCAACCTAGAACTAAAGAGGAATTTCCTGACAGAACAATTAATCGGTGGAACAACTTGCCTCCAGAAGTTGTGGATGCTCCAACACTGGAGGCTTTTAAGAAAAGATTGGACAACCATTTGTCTGAAATGATATAGGTTTCCTGCCTGCCTGAGCAGGGGGGAGTAGTAGAAGACCTCCAAGGTCCTTTCCAATTTTTCTATTCTATTCTATTTTCTAATCTATATTCTATTCTGTCTTCTATTCTATTCTATCTTCTATTCTATATTCTATTCTGTCTTCTATTCTATTCTGTCTTCTATCTTCTATTCTATTCTATTCTACTCTATTTTATGAAAACAATTCTCTGGGTTTCCAACCGCTGATAAATCCACCCAATTTGTTATTCATTACAAATTGGCTGGATTCGCATAGCAGGCTAAGTCCTAAACCACGGCTTATGAGCTCAAAATGATTGGATTCAGCCGCAGCCTAAGCCAAAAGAACACAAATCACATTAATGTGTTAAGTGGGGGGAGGGGGAGAACCTGGCTGCTACCAAGATATGTATTAAGATTTAGTTTAATGTTCCACCAGTCTTGTATTCCAATTCAGCAATTAAGCTGCATAATCAAGGAGAAAAGCAACCTAGAACTAAGGAGAAATTTCCTGACAGAACAATCAGTCAGTGGAACGACTGGTTGTGAGTGCTCCATCACTGGAGGGTATTAAAAAGAGACTGGATAGCCATTTATCTGAAATGGTTCCTATCTGAGCAGGAGTTTGGATTCTAGAAGACCTTCAAAGTCCATTCCAATTCTGCTATTCTATTCTGTTAAGCCCCCATATGTACCTAAATACATTTAGTAGCAACTATGCTAAAAGTCCATAGACTCATATTTGGGTTCATGCATTATATGGTTTCATATTTGCACAGGATTCACTGGCAAAAATCACAGCTGATTAGATTTGTACGTGCTAAGCTTGAAACCATACATACTTACAAACAACAAACAACACTATGGCTTAATGCAAAGTTTCCATTTTGGATGGGGGGGAAGTGGAAAAAAAAAAAAGCAAAGTTCAAGCATTTAAAAAAACATTCTTTAAATATTCTGGATACCTGATATTTGAACTGATATGCCAGGTTATGATTTTGTTCACCTTAAAGACACAATTTTATTGTATGGATTCCTTTCCCTTAAGCAATCCTGCAACAGAACAAGACATTTCGGAAATAGTGATTGAAAGGTCTTTTGTTGCTACCTTGATGTGCTGTGCTAAAATGAAGACATCTGCTCTTGTAGCTGGTGTTCCTTGTAAAATTCCTCCTGCATTTTTTTTATGATGCTGATACCCTCCTCTAAATGTTCTTCATACCTCTAGTTATATTCATAACCGAATATCCAAGGTTTCTGACTTCCTTTCCAAGAAGCCTTCTTCGTAGTTATTGCTGCCACCTCCTTTCTTCCATGGAGTGCCCCACCTGGTGTCCTCCCCCCACAATCCCTGGCTGTGAAATAGAGTTCCCAAAACCTATGCAGCCATACAGGTAGTCCTCGACTTACAACTACAATTGAACCCAACATTTCTTTTGCTAAGTGAGACAATTGTCAAGTGAATTTCACTCCAGTTTATAATCTTGCCACCGTTGTTAAGTGAATCACCTCAATTGTTAAATGTGTAACACAGGTGGTTAAATGAATCTGGTTTCCCCCTTGACTTTGCTTGTTGGAAGGTCACAAAAAGGGATCAATCACCCGGGACATTGCAAAAGTCGTAAATATGAGTCAGTTGCCAAGTGTCTGCATTTTGATCATGTGACCATGAGAATGCAATGAGTATATGAAAAACGGTCATAAGTCACTTCTTTCAGTGCTGTTGTAACTTTGAATGGTCACTAAATGAACTGTTGTAAGTCGAGGACTACCCCTGCTGGCATATCAAAGAGTCTGCAACTTCTCTCTTCATTCTCCTTTCTATAATGTCTTGTGAAAAGTGGATTTTCCTTCATAAATAATTTTCATGGGGATTTACAACCTTTTCCCCCCGTACTCCAGTCAAACCTCAACATTCATTTATCAACCTGAGAAGCAGCTCCCAAAACTGATTAAATTACCCAAAATGGAGGGAAATTTTTTTTTCTTTGAGTAACAACACACAAACCCATTACAACAGGGACCTTTAAATTAACTTAAAATGTTTTACACTGGGTAAAAGTGGACTTTCTGATGAGAAATTTTGAGTGATAAAGGAAAAAAGTTTGGGAAGCTCTGAGCTAGCTAATCTTTGGTCCTTAAAATTGAAACAGAATTTGAAAAATAGAAGAAGAGATTACCTAAACAGGTAGAAAATGTGCTTATAAAAATGTATGACTATGAATGCAACTTTATTGAAAACAGAAACATGGGAATCTTGCATTCAACCGTCTCATCAAAGGCAGATTCTGTGAATCCAGGTCTCCAAGAAGGGAACTACAAAGCTCATTACTTGGAAAATAAATGCACATACACAAAAGTAAATAGCCTCTGGTCTAGCATCGTGGCTGATGGTGTATTTACACCACCCTGTAACTAAAGCAGATCTTTAACAACAGGATCAGCACAACAGGTAAAATAAAAAGTAAAGGGCAGCAATGTTCATAGCGGTGAACACAGCATAATATCAGAGAGAATTCATACAATCAAATAGAAAGTAGTCAAGCTGTAAACATACTGAACATATTTTTCCTCTGGGAAAGTGTGATGCCCAAAGACCATAATGCTGATAGCATCAATTGCTATTGCAATTGCTTCTCATCCTTCACTTCCTCCATTTTTAATTGGTTCCTTGAAATCTGAAGACAGCCAGCATTCTCTGCTGACATTTTTATATACCAATAATAACTGGCAAAGAGAGGAGTCTTCCTGAAACTATATCTATTTTTACTTGGTACAGCGAAACATCATATTACACTTTAAAATAGATGGAGCTACAAGGAAGCCCTACTTATGTTTTGCAGTCAAGAAATGGCCCTGTCTACGCTATACAGGTAGTTGTCGATTTACAACTATAATAGAGTCTGCCCATTGTGGTGGTAAATTGTGAGATTGTAAAATGGATCACCTTGCAACCAGATCCATTTTTACACTGTTTTTGTGTTAAGCAAATCCATTGTTTACCATGGGGCAATTTTGCTCAAAAGTAAATGCCAATTTTCAGCAAAAATATAAACAAGTGATGATGTGATTATGGGGTGCTGCAAATGACTATAAAAGTGAGCCAGTTCAGCCCATGAAATGTGATCATGGGGGCTGGTGGAGTGGTGGTGGCAGCCATTGGAACTTCGGAAACAAGTTGTATTTTCGGAAAGGAGGGATTTGTTATAACTTTGAACTGTCACTAAATGATCGGTCGTAAGTCAAGAACTGCCTATATACGTGCCTTGGTCATGTCACATCTGAGCCTTTCATTTCCTGTCACATGTAGGCCAAAAGCAAATGCTAAGAGAAGCCCAAATCAGCTGGTTGGCCCCTTTTCTACTGTTCTTTGCAAAAACAAATGGACTTTTCAAAAACAAGTGAAGCCTTTTTTTTTTGCCCCTTAATGGCTTTTTTATTGTGACATTTGTCATATTCTGATGAATAGAAGAATGTGCTCTTTAATCAAGGAGAGGCTGAATTCACAATTAGCAACAAAATCACTTCCCTCGGGATAGATGAACATTGATTGGTTTGTTTATTGTTCCCCAGTGTGGGATCCACAACATACAATAAAACATCCAATTTCAGAAGATTCACGCCCTTCCAAATTTGATAGGAAGGAAGGAACAATGTTTTTGTAGAATGACCTTTCTGCCTACATTTTCAAGGAATGTTATTTTTACAAAGATGCTGCAACTAACAGCCTTGAGAATATTCTATCCATATGGCTGCCACTAACATTTCCATAATATTTACTTTACTTCTTCCCCACTGGGTATGGGGGGGGGGGGGGGAAGCAAAAAGCAACAATAATGCTTAGCATCTGTTGCATCTTTTCATTTAAGAAATATTTTGTCTACAAAGACAGTAATTAAATAAACTACGTGTCTGCACAAAGTAGCTGTTTTTTTTCTACTTTTGCGTTTGCATTCCTTACGCCAAAGCACTGTATGTAGCTGACAATTTCACAATAACTAGAGTCTGCAACATGATAAGAAAACATTTTCGACAGTTCTGTATTTGCCGCTTAAAGAAAATTGGAGGTTAAAAAAACATCATTCAAGATTGATGCCTATTTTGTGGAATTTCTAGAGCCAGACAACAATGAGAAAGAGTAACTGTTATCCAAAGCATCTTTTTAAAAAGCTTTTCATTCTCCAGTACCTTGGGCATAGTCAGTGGAATGTTTTGACTTTCTTTTTTCAAACAGCAGAAATGCAGGCAACTATGGTCTATTGTTCCTCAGTTACAAATGAAGCTTGCAGGACATAAGTAGCTTCTTAAGAAACACAACTTTGTAAGTTCAGGAGTTACATAGGTGTGCAATATTTATTTAAAGCAGGGCATAAATGAGATCCTAAACAAGCCATGAAGAATTAGCTAGAACTGTAATGAGAAGCTACTTATGTGACAACTCTTTAATTTTGTGACATGTAAAGCTATGTTATTTAGTACTGAGACAGAGAATTTCCTCTCTGGATGGATGGATTCCCATTACCACCATATTTCATGGTCGTTCTCCTGCTTTCTCCTTTTCTTTTTACATAATAATATAAATAAAACAAATGTATATGAAGGTAGAAGCCTTATTAATGCAATAGGGCAACGAAAGGAAAAATGTCCAGTTCCCATTCTTCTATATGGCATAAAATAATCTTTCCCATATTGCAGAATAGAGGATTCCCTCTCCTTTTCTGTTTCTCACCTTGAAAGCTGTACAAAGTTCCTCTTTCAGCCAATCACTTGGAGCAGTGAGAAGGAAAAAGGAGATTTCCATTTTGGTTCCAAATGTGCTATTATTATAATGCATTGCAATTATCCAGATGTTTAGAGTGGATTTGACTAGCCCTTCCTAAAGAAATGGGATAGGCAGATGTTATTGTCTGACGGTGTTAAAAATATTGTTGCAGGATGTAAGCGTTCCAAGTAAAACCGCCTTTTGCAATTGACTGATAGCAGTGCTCAAGATGGTTCAGACAGAGCATCTGATGCTCCAGATGTTTGGAGATTGTATCCAAGGCACCAACTATTATTGGTACTATTTTTGTTTTCTTTTGCCATAATTGTTCTATTTGCAGGTCTTTGTATTTTATGATTTTCTCCAGTTCTTTCTCTTCTGTTCTATTGTCTCCAGGTACTACATCTGTCAAGCCTGAAATTGACATGTGTAGCTATTTTACTTAGGCTTAGTATATATTCTTTTTCTCACTTTCTCTTTGGTAGTCATGCGGGAAGATTTTCCGGCTTGCCACATTCCTAAGTGGGGAGGAGTGGAGACAGGGAGAAGTGATTCTTCTTTCCATGGGAAAATGAGCTGACTGTGTTCAGGCTCCTTGAGGTGGAGATTTATGACATCAAACAATGTTGAATTACTTCTGTTGGAGAGCGTGATTTTGGGGGGTTGTTTCTAACTTCTGATATTGTGGGTTAATTCCCGGTTTCGTTAGATCCGGAATTACCATGGATTGCCAATTTGATGCTTTCCTAAATAAAAGGAATTGTTTTGAAAGATGGACTTTGCTCTTTTCTTTTTAAAATGGATTTCATCACTTGGAAACCTGACATCTACTACACAAGACTTTTTTTTTTCTTATTAACAATTTTGTCTTTTTGACACCTGGGTTGTGTGTTTGTGCCTGCCTGTTTGAATTCTAAAGTTACAGAAGACTACGGCATTTATCATTCAACTGATGTATATTGTGAATTTTTCTTCCTCAGCAGAACCGTCATTGCAAAACTATTCTGAATATGAGGTTTGAAGCAGAATAGATTATTGGAAGATCCAAGCACAGGAAAGACTTTGTTCCAAAAAACCTCTCCTTCTAGCAAGGCCATGAATAATCCAGGACCATTTTCCCGAGCTTCACAACCAGGAAAGAAGAGTCACCATCACATGCCCATGTGTACATAGAGGAATATGTTCAGGGGTGGGCTTCAAAAATTGGAGCAATGGGTTCTCTGCCCGGTTGCTGGGTGGCCGTGGCCATGATGAGTGTGGCCTAGCTGGCCTCCTGTACCATGGTGGGGGCACGTATTTGCCCTCCCCGGGCTCCTGAGGCTTTCCTTGAGGGTGAAAATTGCTTCCCCAGGCTCCGGAGGCTCTCTGGAAGCCTGAAACAGGCCCATTTCCGGCCTTCCCAAACTTCTAGATTCCATCTTAGTATTCCAGCAGCAGTTGAAATTCCTGGTTTAAATACAGTTGCTCAGGGCTTGTGATGCCCAGGTTCTCGAAGCACCCATTTTACACTTCTGAGCAAAATAACATTAATAAATTATGGCTTTGAGATTGTAAAATTACTCATTACTCTAGTGTCAAGCCTTACTGAATGGAAAAAGTCTTCTGTTCCATACACTGTAGGTGTAAAAACGCCTTGCGAGTTCACAAAGCAAGGCATGTAATTAGGGAAACACTCCAAAAACAATGCATAACAGGAAAACATTTTACTGTAAAGTACTTAAGGGTACATGTTTATTTTTGAGGAAATCCTCATCTGATCTGAGAATCGCTCAAATGCTAAGGAAAGATCTCTCAAGCTCCTCCAATATGTTTTTGTCTGCCACTTGGCTGAGATATGCAACAACCTAGGCAAAGGAAGCAAAACTTCCATTTTTTTGTCTGGAGAAACAAGGTTACCCCAATCCTCGATCCACGGACTGGCACAGGGCCATGCAAATAAATGAAGCCCCATCTGCTGGATGCAGGCAGCATGCTAAACCACGCCCCCTCCAGTCTGTGGAAAAACCTTTCTCCATAGAACCAGGCCCTGGTGCCCACAAGATTGGGAGCCACTGAGGTAACATACTGTAAAGCTCAGGTTGATCACTCTGATTTAGAGAAAGTTGGAGGAGGGGAGTGGGAGGGGGAGAGGAGAGGGAAGAGAAAGACCTGCAAAATTCTGTGAGTATAACTTCTCTTTATAAGAGCAGGCTCAGCCTTCCTTTGGAGTGGATTTCTTGGTTCTATCTTTGTAATGGGATTAAAAGTTACACTGTCCATATTCCCTTTGTACTCCTTCCCAGCAGCTTCATTAAAAAAATAAAAATAAAGTGTGCCTACCTGGGAATAGGAGTTGTCATTAAATACAGCTAGACATCAGTAGGGGGAATGGGGATATAAGGTGATAATGATCCTGATTTTGGTCTGTTTACATTAGAAATTATGCTCTTTCAGATATTTTTCAGCTTAAATAGTCTTTATGAGCATTTATCTGGAGAAATGCTCCCAAAGCAGCACAGATGGATTGTTTTACACTACACAAATTCACATCTCGCTAGTCACAATGGAGCTTTCCCTAATGAATAAATATAAAGGCTCTGTACATGACAGCTAATGCATTTTGGTTCCCAGGGCTTAATATCTGCTTTGTTCAAATGCTCTTATTTGAATACTTATTGGTATATTTGTAATTTCATCCAAAGGAACCGTAATTTAAACAATATAAGGTAGTTTATCATCAGCCCAATTGCACACCAGTTGTTAATAAAGGCAGTTTAAAAGTTAACTATTTTGTCAGCAATAGAAATCTACCTGTTTCAGAGTACTAATACATTAAGATTTTGAAATACTTTGGGACTATAGAAGAGATAAGGCATACTCCATTAACATTTTAAGTTGTCTGATGTAGCTTTACACAAACAATTCGTTGAAATAATTCTGACTGTTGCAATTGTACATTCTACTATCTAATGCTTTGGAATTTTAGCAGATGCTTGCCAAAAGTACTATTCCTACTCTTACTGGAAATCTGCCTTTACTAGCTCAGGCAATGATACAACCAACCTGCTATTGTTTTCAACCTTTAAAAAATATTGTTTTTCCTGATATATAAGTAAAGGTGATTTTCACAACAGGATTATTCCTCCAAGTGCTGGCACAGGGTGAGGTCAAAGTGGAATGAGACTGAAGTGAGTGACATCAGAGAAGTGTAGCCATGGAACCAGATTTTTCTTTTTTAGGTTTTACTGTTTCTTGTGTTTTTATCGCTATAAATATTATTTTTTTATTGTAAGCCAACCAGAGCTCAACTTTAAGGAGGGTGGCTATAGAAATGTTTTCAAAAAATAAAAATAAGTTTATAGAGAAGAAAAGCAAAGATAATTACTTCATGGCATGTTAAAAAAACCTTCCAAGATTTGTTCAATACCTAAAATTCAGTATTTGTAGATTATACCTACATGATTACAGGTAGTCCTCAACTTATGACCACAACTGAGCTCAAAATTTCCATTGCTAAGCGAGACAATCTAATGAGTTTTGTCCCATTTTACCTTACACAGCTGTAAGGTGAATCACTGCAATTGTTAAGTTGGTAACACAGTTGTAAAGTGAATCTAGCGTCCCTTTGAGTTTGCTTTCAGAAGGCCCCAAAAGATGATCACATAACCCTGGGACAACCATCATAAATATGAACCAGTTGCCAAGCATCTGAATTTTAATCATGTGACCATGGGGAGGCTGCAATTTTCACTTTTTCACTGCCATTGTAACTTTGAATAGTCCCTAAACGAATTGTTATAAATTGAGGATTATCAACATATAGCAATATAAAGGAATTAATGCATCTGCCTCAGAGAGTTTTAATTCCATAGCACACCAAGAGTAAAAAATATTACGTATAATTAACATATTTACTTTTATTTGTATACACATATATAAAATCATAAAATGTTACTAGTTTTTTCCCTGATTAATTCCTGAGTTTTAGGACGCCACTGAAACACAGCAGTTAAACTCTGAACATTTAAGATATGAATAATCCTGTCAATCATCTATGACATGATTGTACATGTTTCGCACATGTCAATCATCAATAAATGTCAATCTTCCGGGCCCTTCATTCCTCATCCATCGGCGGTATCTTTTCCATCGAGGATCCATTGCCATTTTTTTCTTCAGCTCCTCCTCTTGCTCTTGTTTGTAAAGCTAAAAAGGGAAGGTTGAACGAAAACTACATCAGTCTTCATTAGATACCTACACAAACTCATTGCATATTTCATCACTTTCAAATGCAGACTCATCCATATAATATTTCAAATCAGATTATTGTGAATTACATAATTGTAACTGAAGAACTGGTTATAGAACTCTGCTTCCTGAACTACCAATCTTGTTTTTATAAATAGTGAATAGCAGTAAGCAGAACAGCTTTTTAACACATGAATAAATATATCCATTAGAAATCTATTAACTAGACCAGGGGTGTCAAACTCAAGGCCCACGGGCCAAATCCAGCTTGCGGAGTGCTTAAAGCTGGCCTGCTGGGCTGGCTGGAAATATCAACGGACTGACACGCAGTACCTCTGCCAGCCAAAACAGGCCATGTGGGGGCCTCACAAGCCCTCATGAGGCGCATTTTCGGCCTACCCAGCTTCCAGCAGCACTCTGCCGGCCAAAAACAGGATGCGCAGAAGCCATGGAGGCTGAAAATGAGGTGTGGGGGCTGCACATGACCCCCCCTCCTACACCCCATTTTGGCCAGCAAAGTGCTGCAGGAGGCTGTCCAGGCTGAAAATGGGGCATAGGGGGCCATGTGCAGCCACCCTGTGCCCCATTTTGGCCAGTGGGGTGCTGGAGGAGACGTTCGTTCTTCCCCCCGCCCCCACTGGCTCACTGCAATGCTGATCCAGCCCTCGAAGAAATCCAGTTTGATACCCCTGAAGTAGACATTATAGAAACGAACAAAAAGTTATGAGACTATAGTGACTAGGCACTTATTATGTATTATTTAAAGAGAAAGTTATATGCTTCACAAAATCCACACCAATGAAAAGTAGGAGACTATCTGTTGCACCTTAACTGTCAAACCCAGATAACAATTGCACTGTGGATGATAAAACATTAACCCTGTGATCTCAGTATAAATCTATTAATAATTACTTAGGATTTGCTGAATGAGACCAATGCTGTAAGATTGTGAAAATCATCTTTATAGTTATTCAATAGGCCTAGATTATGGGGGGAGAGGGGAGTTACTTCTCTGGTGCCACCATCACTCACCTCATACTTTTCTTTTATCCAAAGCTGCTGGTCAAGAAAAGACTCTCTCTGATGATCTTCCAAAGTGTCAAATTGGGATTGTGACATTTTCATATTTTTGCGTATAATGTACAATTTCTCTTCTTCGCCATACTCTTGCCTTTTGATATTGAAACGATAAATCCAACCAAAATACCATTTTATGTATTTGTACAGATAAAGAGGTGCTAAAATTATTTGAAACAAGAGAATGTCAGAGATTCGGGGTTTCTGGTAGCCACCCTTGATATCTATTTTGTTTTTTATTACATCTTTGATTATTTTTTCTTCTTCTTTGCGGATTTCTTCCTTCGATCGTCTGCTTTTGCCCTTTTCTTTGGCTCTGTTCAATAGCCCTTGTTGCCTAGCAATCTCAGTTGCTTGTATTCGATATTTTGGCATAGTTGCTAGGTAGTTGATAGCTTCGTTGTAGCTAGTCCGCCAGCTGAAGAACTAAAACATGAAATGCAAGCTGAAATTTATGTTCAGTTTTAACTTTTGAGAACCCTTTAACCTTTACTTTTCCCATACTACTTGGTCTAAATATAAAATTCACTCTGTTGAGTGTGTTCTTTTCCCTGCATAAGTACAACCTTGTTTATTTTATCTTTTCTGAAATTCTGCAGCTCCTGTGTATTCAAACGTCTAAGTCACGACATGCAATTTTTAACTTCTGTCTTCACTGTGAGTTTTGGGTGTGTGTATGTGGGGGTGCACAAAGGGAGGCTCAGCCAATCTCATTGTACACATGTTGCACTCTGACAATAAAGGTAATTAATTAAGGAAATCAAATGCATTATTTTCATATGCTACTTGCTTGTGTTTTTATCACAGTCTTTTTGCTCAAAATGGACAGATAGTCCTCAGCAGGCTGAATTAGTCATTATGTAGTCATTATGTGAGGATTACCTGTATGCCTACTTTTATGCATAATCATGCCATGACAAAAAAACAAAGGAATATGTAGAGTGATCTGTGGCTTTATGAATCATGATACCTAAGTTAAATATTAATAAATGACACAATTTCCAATATGTGGTGAGTCTACATACCAAATTACAGATAGTTCTCAACTAGCAACCAGAATTAAGCCCAAAATTTCTCTTGCTAAGTGAAATAGTTAAGTGAATTTTGGGCCATTTTTTAAACAACCTTTCTTGTCACAATTGTTAAGTGAATCACTGCAATTGTTAAATTAGTGACACAGTTGTTAATTTGGCTTCTCTGTTGACTTTGCTATTTGGAAGGTTGCAAAAAGTGATCATATGACACCCCCCAGAACACGTGACAACCATAAATAAAGTTGCCAAACATCTGGGATGCTAAGTCCTAAGTCACTTGTTTCATTGCTGTTGGAATTTCTAATGGTCACTGAATGAACTCTTGTAAATTGAGGACTACCTGTATGCACTGTGTCTCAGCCAAAGAAAACCTGCACAAGAACAATATTTAAAACTTTACAACTTTTTTTGCTTACTGTTTACATTTAGGAAGAAAAACACTTAGCATATTTACCTTGGCCGACTGAGCTTTAGCACGAAGGGAGAAGTAATCAATTGCCTCTTCCCCATGCAGGCTCCCCATACAATGGGCTGTAGAGAGAAGGAATTTTCCTCACCTCTGCCCTCCAAAGCAAGTGGAATTCTGGATCCAATACCACAGAATGTCCAAACTAGAGGAGAATACCGGAACAGGTAGGATATAAGCATGCAGTACTTACCTGAAATATAGAAATGGCACAAACAGTGACAAGAATCACAATTCTGACATCCACCTTGGGTGCCAATCTTCTAGAATAATAGTGATAGTAATGGCTGTAATACTCCTCAGGATGATCCAGCATATAATCATAATCCTTACGAGTTTCTTCATCCTGAAAAAACAATTGGCAGTTTTTAAAATGTGGAAATATTTTATTTCAGAATCAAATCAAATAAATTCTCTGTCAGTATAAGTAAATGTGGTTTTTTAATGTGATTTTTATGGCAATTATATATCTAGCTGTGCTGATTTAGAAATTAAACTGTCAAAACAAATTAATTGTATTTATGCAATAAAACAAAACAACTAAGAAAGCTGAATTTAATTTCACACACAAATGAAAAAATACTGTGTACTTTCAGAATAACATACTGTAACTATGACCGAAATGTGTCCTTAGGTAAGACAAGCGTCCCAATTTTGTCGATTAGAGAACATACATATACTTTTGACAAGATTGCCACTGATGCTTTCACAAATGTCCGACAAGGGAAAGTTTGGGTAATTCATAAAATGGCTGCAATAAACAATATGATCAATCACAAATTATATCTGAATGCTTCCTTCCTTTCCATGTAGCCTCCCTGAAGGGTATTCTTTATCACTCTTGCTTATATATATCTTTTTTTCTCCAAGAGATTTCTAATCAAGCTACTGGTCTCTAACCATTCATCATTTTTATTTTCTAAAATAAAATGTTTATTTTTCTAGATAAAGCACTACTCTTTAATTCACTTGCTTTGAAGGATTTTAGCAAATGGAGTCACACAACTCAGAAATCCTCTTCAATTTCTTCACACCATTACTTATAGCAATTCGTTTGATTAGACAACAACATGTTACTGTTTTTTGTCCTAGCTCTCAAAATATTCAACGTACAGAAAGGATAGAGAAATTATAGAGCAGTTTCCGAAGATTTCCATTCCGGTTACTTGGATGAAGATCTGAGATACTCCTATTTGTCTGCTCATTGATCAGTTTATTATTTCTCATCCTGATGCAGATAAAAAGGATTTATTCCAACCTACACATACCAAAGAGGGCTGGTTTTGAAAGAAATGAAACTTCTCCACTATTGCACCTAACAACTAGACAGATGTACCCTCTTATGTTCAAGAATAAATGAAACAGAGAAGATGCTTGCTAAAAACTGAAAGCAAGGTAAAGATCGCTCCCTTTTACAGCAAATCTCAACACCACAGCCTTTATAGAAATACAGAGGGAAGCAAAGAAATACACAAAACACTAAAATTTCACTGCCATCTACTCGCCATCCAGATTTTTATGGCCCTGAAAGTAAAAAGCCTCATTTTAGAGATACTTTAGAAGAGGTATAATATGCAGAGATAATGGATAGAAATTTGATTTATATAGATTAGACCACCATTCATCTTGGTTACTTTCCCAAATACGATTAACAGTTACTCTTTACTCATTTCAAAAAAATGTAAAGTCTCTATTAGAGGTGGAAGATGTTGAATATATGGGACTTGCTTTTTGTCATGTTACACATAAGGATTGGAGAAATTCCACCATGAAGCTATGGCCCACCCAGTGAATTCATCTTAAAAGAGGAAAAAGGAATATTTCTGCTGGAACTGATTCCCAAATAAAACTTTTTAAATATATCTATGACAACTACTATATTTTATAGTCCTTAAAGTCAAACATTACCTATATTTAATAATTCAAAAGATTCTTTACTGCTTGAATTCCTTCATGGACTGGTTTGCAATGATCTAACAGGGCTCAAAGTTTTTCTTCAAACCTACTGTCCTCATTAAACATTTTGAATGGAAAAAATTATAAATCTGATGGTCTTTAAAAAATACAATTGAAGTTGGAGAGAAAAAATAAAATTCATAGTTTTATTTGGATTTCAGGCTATCCAGAAGGCATGTTTTAATATATGATAAAAGTTAGAATATTCTCAACTTGGCTTTTGGGGACTTTAAAAAATAATGCTCGTAGCACATTTTGTTTCAAATCCTATCAAGTTCAAGGGATTTTATTATGTTCATTTCAAAACTGACTCATCATTTTTTTAATATGCTAATTCAATTTATTGGAAATTAATGACGCTATTGACTACCTGTATTCTGTCATTCTGTACACTGCCTGGTGCAATCTAAAGAGCTACGTTAGGCTCACCCATGAATCCTGGCATATCACCAAATGTGATACCCTACACTTGTTTTTTTTTAAAGTCATAAATCTCTTGCTGCATAAAGTTTAGACAACAGGATTATTTTTATACATAAATTGCATGTTTACTTGTCTTTCAATTATTGAAAGAGCATATATAGCAGTGGTGGGGTTATACAATGTATCTAGGACATGTCCAATTTATGACAGTTGTTCAGTTGTTCTTCATTGTTAGGAAATATCTACTTCAAGTCAATAATCTGTCTCAAAGCCCTCTTCTTTGAAGTTCTGCTTCTTTTGAAGTTTGGGGATAAAACAACACATAACCTTATATTAGAAGTGTAGATACTACTATAGTACATGGGATGCTTTGAACACCTGCATGATGTGATGTGTTATTTCCCATTTCAAATCCTAACGCTGACATTTCAAATATTCAGAACATTGAAAAGCTTCAAAGGGGTTTAATTCTAAAAGTTTTCTGCAAGCTCCCTTCCTGCCTCATGTTCTAAGAACATGAAAACTGCTGTGTTTAGACAATCCAAACATTTGTCTAGCCCAAATGTTATTTGTTACCGCTGCTAGGCAAATGATCCTTGAAGTCTGCAAGAATAATACAAAATAACCCATCTTCCCCTCTTGTTGTCCCTAAAAGCTGGCATCCAAATACAGGTAGTTTTCAACTTACAATAGTTCATTTAGTGACTGTTCAATCTAAAAGAGCTACTTATAGCTCTTTATAACGGCACTGAAAAGAAGTGAATTATGGCCCTTTTTCACACTTATGGCTGTTGCCGCGTCCCTGTGGTCGTGATTAACATTCAACTGTCTGACAGCTGACTCACATTTATGACAGTTGCAGTATCCCAGAGCCCCTTCTGCGACTTTCTTCTGGCAAGCAAAGTCAATGGGGAAAGCAGATTCACCTAAGAACCCTGTTACTAACGTAAGAACTGCGGTGATTCACTTAACAAATGTGACAAAGTCATAAAATGGGGCAAAACTCACTTAACAAACTTCCCACTTAGCAACATACATTTGAGGCTCGAGTGCGGTTGTAAGCGGAGGACAACCTGTATACTGCTTCTAATGCAGGAAGGTTTCATTTAACTGCCAAAGCCAATCATCCCAAAGGTGCTTTATTCCCCAAGAGACAACTGGGCTTTCTTGTTTTTCTTTGAAGCCTTTTCACATCTCAGCCAAGAACTTTCTTCAGTTCTGATTGGATGGTGGGAAATGGGAGAATTTCAAGGTGGCTTTAGATTAGAATTCTTTATTGGCCAAGTGTGATTGGACATACAAGGAATTTGTCCCTGGTGGGCAGAGGGACACCATACATTCTTTCTAATAATGCATGCTGGAAAATTGAGAAAGCCAAAGAGTTATACTCCTTGCAGACCGCTGGTTATCCAGTCAAGGAGTATAAATCCTTCCATTCCCCACTATCCAATCAGAGATGCTTCTTGGATGAGAAGCCGAAATGTCTTCAAAGAAAAACAAGAAAGTCCAGTTGCCTCTTGAGGGGGAAACAAGCCCCTTTGGGACAACCATGATCTGGATGACTGAGCATCTCCATAGACATTTGAAACAGTCGATGTCTTTCAATAGGACCTTTCCTGAAGAAGCCCTTTTTTTTAGCCAAAGCAGGACAAAATTCTTGATTATCCTAGCTCAGGGGTCGCCAACCTTTTGGACCTCAGGGACCACCAAACTCATAATTTTAAATCCCACGGACCACTAATATGAATTTTGACTGACGGCGGCTTGCTGACGTTGGTGAGAAATTCGGCCCCATATTCCAGAGCTGCAGTAGTCACAGGACTGGCCCTTTGGTCATCCTGGGGCAGCTGGTCCTCCATCTGGATGCACCGGCCTGCTACGGACTGGAGGAGCTGCTCCGGGATAACCAAAGGGCCAGTCCTGTGACTACTGCAGCTCTGGAATATGGGGCTGACTTTCTCACCAACATCAGCAAGCCACCCCGGGGCAGATTTCCCTCCCCTGCCTTTGGTCTTAACTTCCAGCTCCAGCTCGCGTGGCTCTACTCAAGGTAAGGCTTGTGCTTGGCCAAAGGGTGGGGGCCAGCAGGTGGGGGGTGCAGCCTTGTGTTCCCACACACCCTCGATTAAAATTGCTTTGGGGGGGACACATTTCTCTGTGGACCAACCACCAAAATTTTCTCGCGGACCACCAGAGGTCCCCCGCCCACTGGTTGGCGACCATTGTCCTAGCTGACCAATATGGGGAAAGCAAGACTGCTGGATTTGTAACAGTGATGCAGCTGAGCTTTTTAAAAAATTATTATTATTTGAATTTTGACTTTAAGTAACCTTTCCTAATTTGACACCTGTGGATATGTATGCCTAGCCCTGGCATCACTCCATTAACACGGCACTACACTTTGCATCATCCCCAGCCAGCCCGTGCAAGCACAGAGATTAGGGACGACAGGATCTGCAATTAAAACAAAACATAAATAAATATAGATCATCCTAAGAAAATACTCCAGAGGCCCAAGCCACCGAGGCCACTTCTATTCGGAGTCCTCCCGTCGGCGTCGGCCATTCCTGTCCTCCAACAGCTAGCTGCTCCGTCCTCTCTCAGGGCCACCGGCGGGAGGAGGCGCGCGTTCGCAGAAGGGGAGAGGGTGCCGGGGGGGGTCTTACCGTAGGCAGCCGCCCAGGCCGGGAGGAGGGAGGGGGCGGTCCCGGCCCCGCTCTCTCACCTTGAGGGTCTCGTAGGCGGTAGCGATCATCAGGAATTTCTCCTGAGCGGTCTCGGCTCCTTTGCCATCCCGATCGGGGTCCCGCTGCCGATCCGGATGGTAACGCAAAGCCAGCTGCCGGTAAGCCCGGGCGATTTCAGCTTTGCTGGCGTCGCGGCCGACCCCGAGCACGTCGTAGCACACCAGCTTGCCGCAATACAAGCCTTCCACCAGGGCTTCCGCCGGCCGCGGGCACAGGCACTGGAAGGCCCACACCAACAGCGGCCAGCACCCCGCCCGCCACCGAAAAAGGCCCCGGGACTTCGCCGTCATCGCCGCGGAAGAGGCTTCGCCCTCGGGCCTCGCGCACCAGATGGCCTCGACCTCCACAGCGGTTCGTCTCCTTTCTGCCCCCCTCCCTCCCTCCCTCCCGCCGCCGCAGCGCGAGCCTAAGGGCGGGGCTAGAACCTTTGGACGTGGACAAAGCGAAGGGGGCTTGGCAAAAAAAAAAAAAAAAAAAGCCGCCACCTTACGTTCCCCGAGCCGCCCCGGCGTCAAAAGGGAGTGGTCGGGAAAGGAGGCATAATCGGCCAATCGGCAGGCGAGGCTGTCCGAGAGTGGAAGCCGGCCCGGCAAAAGGAGACGCGCGGGAGGGGCGAGGGGGCGGGGATAGAGCGACCCGAGCGGGCCAATGGAAACGAACGGGTGGAGTTTAGAGGGAGGCGCCTTTAACGAGCGTCACGTGGAGCCTGGTCAGCCAATAGCTGGGAGGGAAAACGTGCACGCTCGAGGTCGGAGACGAAAGAACCCAAATCGTCAGTTGTATATAAAATGATGCGCCGGAGAATGTGGGCATTTTTTCAAAAAATAATCGATTGATCGTGTGCTATCAAATCAGTGTCGACTCTTAAGGGCCACTTAGATAAATTTTCTCCAAGACGACTGACGGACGGTCTAATCTCAGCATAAAGAGTGAATAAATGACAAGTTTTACAGCTTTGTCTCATTTTCTGTGCAGACTGGCTTCTTGACCCGTGATAGCTTTTGGCACGAGAACAATGAAATGCTCTGGGGTTTCCATTGCATGGCTTGACACTTCTACACGATCAAAAGGCCTTTCTATAATCAATGGGCACATGCTAACCTTGATTTTAGTATTCTTTGGTCTTTCTCAGTTATCCAGCATGCAATATTAGAAATAATGTTTTGTGTCCCTCTGCCCACCGGAGACAAATTCCTTATGTGTCCAATCACACTTGGCCAATAAAAAATTCTAATCTAATCTAATACCATCTTGAAAAATGAGCTTCTCCTTTTCTATGTAGGATTCTATTTTTGCATTGGATGATTCTAAGCATTATTTGGCTAGCAGATAGAAATTAAGCATGCATATTCTACTGAGTTTCCTTTCCTTGGTATTGGTATATAGATTGATGTCTTCCAATCTGTTGGCCACCTTGTTGCTCACTAGATCCTGTACAGGCTCCTCTTTTGTTACTTGCCACAGTTCTGAAGGTAATCAATCCCAGAAGCCTTCTGATTTGATAATGACTGCAGTGCTAATCGTATCTGATGTTCTAGTGCTAAATGTAAGAACATATTTTCCAATGCATCTTGGATGTTGACATCTTTAATCCTTCCACCTTTATGCGATTTTTGTAATCAGTTGCTATCTGTCCATTCGAATCCTACCAAATCAAGGTTGGAACAAATTCGAGATTGCAGTCAAGATCTTTTGAAAGACCTTGTTTTCTATGTCTGCTTCCATCTTTAGTGTCTTTACAAATATTGTAATATTGCTCTGGATGTCTTTTAACAGGTCTGAAACTCTGTTCTTTCCTGAGATTTTTGACTTTCATAACTGGTTTCTCTTCTTTTTATTTATTTGGAAATTTCCATGGTTTGTTCCAATATCCAGTTGCTTTTTTCTGCTTTTAAGTCTTTGGCAATCTCTTTTCACATTCATCTTTAGCAACATTTGTATTTATTCCACAGCTCTGGTTGCCCATCAAAGAAGTTCAACGCTTCAAAATGATAACTGATGTCCCCCTTGAAAATGATTGGTATTATGCCCAAGTTTGTATTGTAAAAACAGGTTTTTTTGCTGCTTAACCTTAACCTGGAACATGGGTAGTTCCTGCTTTGTTCTTCAAGCAGCCCCTGACCACATCTTTTTATTATAACTGAGCTCTTCCACTTCCTTGGGCCAGTCATATCATCTGTTTCATTTCCATGTACTACATTTGGTGCTGTCACTCATCTGATGACAGTGATAGCAATGAAGAAATATTTGGATTAGCAGACATTGCTGAGTCATTCTTTCTTCATTTCATTTCTTCAATACAGGCACATTTTCCTCCATATTTCCAACTTTGGCTTTCCAGTTTCTAATGACAAGCAACACATCTTGCTTTTATGTTGTCAAATTCAAATTAAATTTGAATTTGCCATCCAACCTCAGGGGCTCATCCTGCA